GGAGCACAGCAGATATCCGAAAAGAGCTAAAACTCATCTCTTTTCAACCCCTAAGCATCGGACTACGGCCTTTCGCGGATCGTTTAGATATGCTGCCTCTAAGTGTTGGAATGATCTCCCTCCACCATTACGTGATCTAAAAACAAAATACGCACTTAGAAAATTTTTCAGAGAGTATCTTTTTATGTTGCAGAATCAATTTTTAATTATTATATGAATTTACTTTCACCTTTGAGCTTTCTCACGAAACACTAGGCGTGGGTCAGCAGGCTCGATCTGTTTTCGTCTTTTAAGCACCTTGATAATGCACACATTTGGCACGTCATTATTTCGTGTGATATCCGCAAAGGCATGTCCAATTTTATAAACGTGGCAAACACGTGGCATCAAACGTGGCAATTTCAGCGTAAATACATGTAAGTTGAAACACAATTACGTAGGTAGGGATAAATGTTTTTCTCTTAAGATATGCATTGTTTCAATTGGAAAGTGACAGCGAGCGAGTGAGTCATAGTCAAGTCACTTATGTGTTATTTGGTAGTAGCTGGCTGAGGAATCATTCCCATACAGCCGTATTCGCAGTTTTTATTCTCTTTTCTTTCGACATTGGTGATTTGGGAGAGAATAGGTTATTTAAATATAATATATATCGTGTTATTGTTATATATATCTTAATATGCACATTATTATTTACTTTTTTCTTGTATATAATTTTTATTTTATTTTATTTTTAATGATGCAACTGTAAGGCTCCTATCAGAATAACAGCGCCCTTAGTATCATTCTGCCCATCTATGAACGATACTAGGGTCTTTGCTGAGATAGGGGTCCATCTTGGCCTCGCATATTTTTTTTTTTATTTTTCTCTTTTTTTACTGTATTCTTGTTAACGATTATGTATGTGGGTCAATAAATTTCTTTCTTTCTTTCTTTCTTTCTTTCTTTCTAATTGCAATGAAATGGGCCACCGGAGCTTAAAATGCGATAAGCCTCCAGTAAAGTGCACTTTTTGTGAAAAACTAGGACATCGATTAGAGCATTGCTATAAGTACAAATCGTCGAAACTCTTTGATAAAAGTCAGGTGCAGGCTAGGGATCTAAACGAAAAGCAGGTTGCGAAACTTAATATCGATAATGCCAATGACAAGTACATTTTAGATATCAAAGTCAACAATAATTTGGTTAAATGTTATGTGGACTTAGGTAGTCAGTGCTCTCTGATTAAATCTAGTAAGGCAAAGGAACTTGGGCTTAAGATTATCAACTCCGTAGATTTTACCTATGCCTAGGAGTATTGGGGGTAATGTAGTAATCCCCTCGGGGAAACTTCATGCACGGTCGAAGTCCAAAACATTAAAGAGCCCATTAACATGTACATTGTTGAGGATTATGTAGTCAACCAACCAATTCTTTTAGGATACTCGTTTACCGAAAAGCCGGATATTGTTATTACAAAAACATCTACGGAACTTATCTTCCAACGAATTCCGATTAGTAAGGTGTCACTTAAGCTCCAGAACAAGGTTCAAATACCCGGTAATAGTACAAGAGCTATCTCTGTCGAATCCGAGTCCCCAATTAACGGATACATCTTGGTTAACGGGTCTTTGCGGGGTCCCGAAGGTGGGGAGTATTATTTACACCCAGGTCAATATGAGATAAAAGAAGGTAGGAGTATTCTTCTAGTGTTTAATACTACACCTGATTCCATTACGTTGCACGAAAACATGTTGATAACCCGAGCTATTTTTAAGAATATTTATGATAATCTTCGATGCTTTGAAACCTTTAGTCTTAAAGTTAGCGACCAGAATTGCCAAGATAATATTAGACATGGGGATACACTAAATGAGGCAGAAAGACTGGAGCTTCATAAGTTAGTTTCTAAGTTCAGCGATCGTTTTTCTAATAATCTCAAGGATCTTGGGCTCACACAGGTAACTGAGATGGTAATCGAACTAGATGATACACAGTCAGTTGTCTATCGTCCCTATCGGTTATCCTTGTCGGAACGTTCAATAGTGAGAGAGATGGTTAAGGAAATGATTGATAGTGGAATAGCTAGAGAGTCTTCGTCACCGTATGCTAGCCCCATAGTATTAGTACAAAAAAAGACTGGCGAAAAACGATTGTGCGTAGATTATAGAGCTTTAAATCGTAAAACGAGGAAGGATCATTACCCGTTACCCCGCGTCGAAGACCAATTAGATCAGTTGTCCGGTAACACCCTATTCACGTCGCTAGATTTGGCTTCTGGGTACTATCAAATACCTTTAGCAGAGGAATCACGTCCTAAGACTGCATTCGTGACCCCCGATGGGCAATTTGAATATAACCGAATGCCTTTTGGTTTAGTGAATGCCCCATCTATCTTTCAAAGGACAATAAACAAAATTCTTCAAGAGGCCAAAATAAAATACGCGATAGTTTACATGGATGACATTTTAATCCCGTCTAAAGATTTTTCTGAAGGTTTACAAAGGTCGGAAGAAGTTTTTCAACTTTTGAAGGTTGGAGGACTAACTCCTAAATTAAGTAAATGCAATTTCTTCCAAGATACCTTAGATTTTCTCGGGTTTGTGGTTAGTGCAAAGGGTATACGTCCACGGTCAAAGAAAATAGAAGCCGTGTCAAAATTCCCAGAACCGCGGAACCAACACGAACTAAGACAGTTCTTAGGGCTATCAGGGTTTTTCCGTCGTTTTATTAAGGGATACGCTGAGATTACTTCTGTACTTACCGATTTTTTAAAGAAGGATACTCCATGGGTATGGGGAAAGGTGCAAGGGCAAGCTTTTGCTAAGGTAAAAAACTTGTTAACACAGCGCCCCTTGTTGTCCCTATACAATCCTAATGCAGATACGCAACTGCATACTGATGCCAGTAAGATAGGTCTTGCGGGGATCCTATTACAGTCAAACGCTAATGGTGATTTCCAACCCATCTCCTATTTCAGTCGCAAAACTACGCCAGATGAGCGTAAGTTACATTCTTATGAACTTGAGACTTTAGCTGCCATCGCTTCTTTGAATCGTTTTTCGGGTCTATTTAATCGGAATACCATTTCGCATCTATACCGATTGCAATGCTTTAAGGTATACTCTTACCAAACGAGACATTATCCCGCGAGTTGCACGATGGTGGGTTCAGCTTCAGAAATACGATTGTTCGGTAGAATACAGATCTGGGACGCGTATGAGCCATGTTGATGCGCTTAGTCGTAATCCAGTTGGAAGCGGAAAGTCTGAAATTCATGTGCTCGATTCTCTTGCCTTGCAAGAACTTGGACAGGATTGGATCGCGACGGTACAAAACACAGATGATGAAATCAAGCGAATAAAAGAAGTGTTGAGCGATCCAAGTTCTGAACAAGTGGCAGACTACTGCAATAACTATAAACTCAAAAACGACCGAATATATCGTATTGTTGAGGGCGAGCTCAGGTGGTTAGTTCCTAAAGGTGTTCGGTGGCAAATAGTTAAAAGAAACCACGATGACGTGGGCCATGGAGGCTTTGATAAGACACTTGAACGTATAAAGAAACAATATTGGTTTGCGAAGATGCGACGCTTCGTAAAAAAATACGTTGCTTCGTGCCTCGAGTGCGCTCACCATAAAGCACCTGGTAGGAAACGATAAGGTGGACTTCACCCAATAAAGAAAATCAGTATCCCATTTCATACACTGCATGCGGACCACCTCGGTCCATTCATTAAAAGTAAAAGGGGAAATTGTTACTTACTTGTAATCGTAGATAGTTTCACTAAGTATATTAATATAACTCCAGCTAAAAATACCAAATCTGTAACGACTATAAGAGTTATTAAAGAACACATAAGCTACTTTGGGGTACCGGCACGTCTCATTACCGACAAAGGTACTAGTTTTACAAGTAAAACTTTTAAGGAATTTGTCTCTTCTTACGGAATTAAATATATTGAAAATGCCGTTGCAACACCCCGTGCCAACGGTCAAGTGGAGAGGTTTAATAGAACCATTCTAGATGCCTTATCCACATCTTCCCACGGGGGAGACGATAAGGCCTGGGATGAACATGTCCATGATATTCACGTAGGTCTAAACACAATGCAAAATAAAACCACCCAAAAAGGCCCTTCCGAACTTCTCTTTGGATTTAATATTACGAGTAGGACTCAAGGCATTTTAAATGATGTAATATCCGATACAGTTAACGTTAGCAGCCCGCAAGAACTAATAAACCTTAGGCAAGAAGCCAATGACAAAATTAAAGAACAACAGGCGAAAGATATTGAACGATTTAATAAAAGTAGGAAGAAGTGTACTAAATACAATGAAGGGGATCTAGTAAGAGTAGAAAGGCAAGTACCATATGACGGAAAGTCCCAGAAGCTAGTAAATAAATATCAAGGTCCTTATTGTATAGTAAAAGTGCTCCCAAATGATAGATACCTAGTAGAAGATACTCCCCTTATCCGTAAGCAGGGTAGACGTTATGAGAGTGTAGTGGCTTTAGACAAAATACAACCTTGGATGTGTTTTACTAGAAGTATTGAGAGTGATAATGATAATCAGAATGAAGAAAGCGAGAATAATATCGATAGTACATAAATTACTTTAAATATTGAAATGTTAGACTAAGCTTATAATAATAATAATTTAGAAAAAAAATAGTTATATACCTTGAGCAAGATTATTGATGTGATTGTACTTGCAAGAAATTTATTTTTAGGTATTATTATGAAATAAGATATACTTGTAACATAACTCTTAATTATATTATACAATGAGATACCTATATATATTTAAGATGATTATGTTTAAGAATATAATATGAAATCGTATGATGATTAGTCATATTTATACAATTTTGTCGTCTTTTCTTTTTGTATTTAATATCTAAAATAAAGCGAAGGGTCTCGCTCTAAACATGATGGCCGAGCTGTAAGCAATTTCACAACTGTATTAGTATTTAATCATTATTTTCATTAGTTTGAGAAACACTGTATTGACTTTCGTAGTACTTGATTATGTCACAACCGGCCCCACTCCGATAGAAGCGGGGACGGAGCGACGACTAGGCTCATCGCTCCGTCCACTCGGACATTCTGTTAGAGACCTCCGTACGGGTCGGTCGTTAGAAAACTACTATCGTTACGCTGCTACTTTTTTTATAAATTAGAAAATATTGTTTTAAGAAGTGATTTGTGATTGGACTGTAAAAGTGGTGAATTATTAGATTAAAAATATTATTAAAGCAAGTGTTGTAGTTTCACTTCTGGAACGGTTCCTACACTATTTAATTAAATAACTATGCAACGATATTGTCCTAATTTAGTAAATATACGGTTATCAATTGTTTAGTAAATATACGGTTAAAAAGCGTTAATTAATTTATTTATTTATTCTTTATTGCATTTTAACACAATAGGCGGACTTAATGCCAAAGGCATTCTCTGCCAGTCTACCAGTAACAGATGTTGGAGTCAGGATGCTAGGCGATAAGAATAAAAAGCAAAACACAAAAAAAAAACAGTGGCCAAAAAATTATTACAACAAACAAATTGATAAAGGCATAAAACTATATATACCAAAACAAATATATATGTAAATATAGGTAAAATATAAATATATACATAAAAAAAATATAATACAGAACGTATATGAAATAATTATATATGAAGATAGTGCTCATGCACCAATCTCTTAAAAACCATTCTACTCTGAGCAGTTTTAATATGAGCTGGGAGAGCATTCCAAAGGCGAATAGCTGTCAGAGTAAAGGATTTGGAAACAAAATCAGTATGATGAACGGGAGTTTGTAGAATGAGGTTGCTACTAGAGCGAAGATCACGTTGATGACTGGAACCAAGATATTGAAATCTAGACTTCAAATATCCAGGGGTACATGGATCGTAAAGTATTTTGAAAAGCATACAGACAACTCGCAAGTTCCTGCGTTGTTGGATAGTTAACCATCCGAGTAGTTTTCTGTATTTAGAGATGTGATCGTACTTACGAAGGCCAAATATAAACCGAATAGAGCTATTAAGCAAACGATCCAATTTGTTGAGAAGAAATTGACTAGTGTCAGAATAACAGACATCAGCGTAGTCGAGAAGCGGGAAAACAAGGGTCTGTACTAATGCAATTTTGGTGCTGTATGGGAGAAAGAATTTAAGTCTATATAGTGATCTAAGCGTATTCACAGCTTTACGACACACTTCAGCAACCTGCACCTCCCAGTTGAGAGAGCAATCAATGTGAAGACCTAAATTTTTAACACTGGACTGAAACGGGATGACTTGTCCATTATACAGCAGAGGAGTAACAGTATTCATGTCAATAACCGACAATTGACGTGAACTGCCTACAATAATACTTTGGCACTTTGTTGTATTTACTGCCACGCCGTAACTTTTTGACCAATCCACAATGCTTATAAGATCTTGATTGAGGCACAGAATAGCGTCGTTAATGTGGTTCTTGTCTGCCTGAGCATATATCTGAAGATCGTCTGCATATAGATGATAAGAAGATTGAAGTCGAGTAGTAAGAGAGTTAATAAATAACGAGAAAAGAAGAGGAGAAAGTATACCGCCTTGTGGGACACCGGCAGTCAAATCAAGCCAATCAGAAGTTTTCTGATTAACTCGCACAGCCTGTCGGCGTCCACGAAGATACGACGAGAACCAAGCCTGAGCTGTAGAAGAAAGTCCAATGTGAGTAAGGATGGCAAGAAGAATCTCATGGTTAACAGAGGTGAAGGCGTTAGAGAAGTCTATCAGAACCATAATTGTAAGCCTCGAGTGTACCATGCCATGCCGAATGTCCTCTAAGATATTAAGAAGAGCAGTAGAAGTACTATGTCCGGGACGAAAACCGGACTGAAAGGGACTCAATAACTTCAGTCGGGACACATATGATGAGAGTTGGTTATGAACATCAGCCTCTAAAATTTTGGACAGAAAGGGTAGAATAGAAATGGGCCGGAAATGGTTTGGAGTCCAAGGATTAGGTATTTTAGGTAGTGGGAGAGTGAATGAGTTTTGCCAAGTGGTAGGAAATTTGCCAGAGGAGAGAGAGTAGTTTAGAATAAAGGTAAGTACAGGAAGGACACAATCAAGTATGAGCATGACCATTGTTTTACCAATATCGTCATCGCCCACAGCTTTGGATTTGATGGATACTATGACCTTACGGACAACTTCTTCAGTTAAAGGCCTGAAAGAAAAAGATTCGGAATGAGAAGGAGTCGTGGAAGTAATAGAAGATATAGTAGAATTAACAATAGAGTCAGAAATAGGGGCAACAGATGTGAAATGCTTGTTAAGTTCATCCAGCGAGCAAGATGAACTAAATCGAGTAGGCCTTTTACCGAAACCCAAAGAACGAAGAAATTTCCACGTATCGGCAAGATTAGAATTTACAATATTGTCATGAAAGTATTGGCGTTTTGCGGCTCTTACCATCATATTGCAGCGATTCCTGGCAGATTTAAAAGCGTTCCAGTTAAAATCAGTGCGGCATCTTTTGAAAGCACAGAAGCACTTATTGCGTCGTCTCATGGCCATACGCACACCAGAAGTGATCCATGGCGCTGGGGGTCTCCTCACTTTAAGGTGTTTTTTAGGTGAATGTTTATCGAAAATCTGTAGGACCAAATTATTAAATAGATTCACCATGCTTTCGACAGAAGTTGATTCGCGAATAGGAGTCCAGTCAATAGCACACGCGTCCGCCTTAACTTTATCCACATCCAACCTTGTGAAATTGCGCATCTCTACTAAAATAGGTTTGGGTTTAGAAACTTTTGCTTTGTATGCCAAAAATATAAGGTCGTGCCTGGAGAAGCTAGGCGCTAATAGTTGGCCATGTTTGGAGACATTATCTGCAGAAGACGTATAAATGTGATCAATCCACGAGTCAGAGGTGGTAAGATTATGATGAGTGGGGTTAAGAGGAAGAACTGAAAGATTAACCGACTCAATTAAGGATCGTAACTTACGAGTGCTGGCAGTGTCTCTTAAAAGGTCAGTATTGAAATCCCCCATAATTATATGATGAAAGTAGTCAGTTGCGACTGAATTGAGAAGGGAGTTTAAATCGGTTAGATAGTCAATAGAAGGCGGACAATATACTACTCCCAGGACAACCTTGGCACCCTTAACGTCGACTTCAAGGATAAGATATTCAATGTTACCAGGACGCGAGGAAGAAGAAGCTAACTGAGTGAAAGAAAAAGAGCTAGATAAGTAGATAGCTCCCCCCCCACCACCCCTATTCATACGGTCATTACGAATAAGGTTGTATCCTGGGAGTTCATAGGACGAGGAAGACAGACATGGCTTAAGCCAACTCTCTGACACTAGGACAGCGTGAACCGTGTCGGAAGAAAACGTATGCAGCAAATCAGAATAATGCCTGGGAATGCTTTGAGCGTTGATATGGCAAGTATTAAAAGTATTATGACAATGCTCAAGTTCGTGCATAAGGGAGCTGCGAAGATCAAATGAGTCATCGAGAGAATGGTACGATGAAGTATCACTAGCAGAAGCATAAAAATCCAAATCAGACATTCTGTAACTTATTACATTCAGAAATACTAATATATAATAATAATTATAAGAATACTATAAAACTAATAAGATATAAATTAATATATATAATAAATACTCATATAAAAGTATTAAAAAAAAATCTATAGAACTATATCACTGATACTGATAATAATTCGTCAAATCAAAAACCAACACATCCTGCCTGCAGACTGTTAACAAACAAAAAAAATATTAATCTATTTAAAAATAGGCAAGAGATATCTGTCATAAATTTGAACTGGGCCACGCAACCCACGGGGCCAGTATCCAACCTCAAGAACAGGCATGTTGGTGTTGTAGACTGTAAACGTCGAAAAGTCAAAAAGTTATGGACACTAACCCCGCATAAACGCTCCCTTACATTTTAAGGCAGATGGTTTATGGCTGTATGAATCGTATACCTTTGCCCAATATGCTTGACAGCATGAAAGTGTTATTACCGGACACTGTTATGTCACTGTCAATGTCTTATCACTCATTGTCAGATAATTAACACTTTAGAAACAAACATTGTGACCAAAATCGAACAATACCTAGTCAAGTTTTGGGAGCTCAAACTTTATTTTTTAAAAAATATAAAAATACAGAAAATTAAATCTAAGCCTTAATACTAGGTGCTGCCGATTTGGAGGCTAGCAAAAGAATGATTTATTCTTAATAAAAACTGTCCAAGAGGGCCAGACAGCGACGCCCACGTATTCACAGGAATTGTATCCAGGGTGCTGACTAAACCCCCTTTAGTCTAATACAGAAGGGCGAGGGGGTAACATAACTCCTCCATCCCCAGATGGAAAATTATCGGAATTTTCACCTTGTGTGTTTTTCCGATAATTTTTCATAAATGGAAAATTAATAATTTTATTTCTAAACATGTATAAAAATATTATAATAGAACCAAGGCTTACTATACTTAATAAGACATACACTAATACACTGATTTTAGAGTCTGTTTCTCTGTTAAAAACACTATCTATCACTTCACTGTGTTTAAGCGCTTGTGACATGTACTTAATCTCATCTAGTTTGACATCCTTCATATTGAGTACATGTGCACCGGATAGAGCGACGTTCACTCGTAGCTGCGGTAAGTTGATTATAGGAATTGGTGATGCATAATCCCTTTCTGTGTATACTTGATGGTGACCAATCTGGATGTTTCCTATTCTTAATTCACAGGGCTCCTCCAAAGTCAAAACATAGGTTCCCAGTATAGAGTATTTGCTCATTTCACCATTACATTCTTGTGTTAATGTTTCCTTGAATTTTGTATATAAAATCCAGTTTCCAGTGTTAATTTTCTGCACCTTTACGTCTTCAACATGGATCGGGCGTTGTATGCAAATGCTAACGTTAGTGTCGAATTTCATCAGCTGTTCCACGCAGGTAAGTTCTTGGTATAGTACTGTATCATCCATTGCACACAGGAAGTGATTTCTTGTAGCAAGGACGCTGCACTTCTTCATGATCGGTAAATATTTCAAACCTTTCGCCAAAAGGTAAGGGTATTTAGGAAATATAGTTAAGGTTATATTTTCAGGTTTTTGGAAAACAGGTAAGGAATACAATTTAAAATAATTATATG